CCAATCAGGGGTGGGGCCGATGGGGGGGAGGGGCTGCGGTTCATTGGCCGCCAGCCCTGCCCCCTGGTCGAACTCCTGCTTGAGGGGACAATTTGCATATTAGCCTTTTATTATATAGTATATAAATTTTTGAAGAGTTTGTTCCAAGTTTGTGAAACATGTTGTTGGTATTTTAATAGGGGTTGCGTTGAATGTATAGATTGCTTTGGGTAGTATGGACATTTTAATGATGTTGATTCAACCAATCCATAAACATGGGATATTCTTCCACTTGTTTATATCTTCTTCTATCTCTTTTTTAATGTCCTGTAGTTTTCTGGGTACAGGTCGTTTACCTCCTTACTTAAGTTTATCCTAGGTATCTTAATATTTTTGTTGCAATGGTAAATGGATTTTTTTTTTAGTTTCCCTTTCTGTAAGTTCATTATTGGTGTATAAAAACACCCTAGATTTCTGGGTGTTAATTTTGTATCCTGCTACATTGCTGAATTCATTTATTAAATCTAGTAGTTTTTTTATGGAGTCTTTAGGATTTTCTATGTACAATATCACGTCATCTGTGAATAATGACAGTTTTACTTCTTTTCCAATTTGGATGCCTTTTATTTCTTCTTCTTGTCTGATCGCTATGGCTAGCACTTCCAGTACTATGTTGAACAGAAGTGGTGGAAGTGGGCATCCCTGTCTTGTTCCTGTTCTTAGGGGAAATGGATTTAGTATTTGCTCATTGAGGATGATGTTGGCTATAGGTTTGCCATATAGGGCTTTTATTATGTTGAGGTATGATCCCTTTATTCCCACTTGGCTGAAAGTTTTTTATCAAAAAAGGGTATTTGAATTTGTCAAATGCTTTTCTGCTTCAATTGATATGATCACGTGGTTTTTGTCTTTCAATTTTTATGTGATGTATGATGTTTATTGATTTGTGGATATTGCACCAGCCTTTGATCCCCATAATAAATACCACTTGGTCGTGGTGTATGATCTTTCTAATGTAATGCTGGATGCGATTTGCTAATATTTTTTGCGGATTTTAGCATCTATGTTCATCAGGAATACTGGCCTATAATTCTCTTTCTTTGTAATGTTTTTATCTGGTTTGGGGATTGGGGTAATGCTGGATTCATAGAAAGAGCTTGGAAGTGTTCCTTCCTTTTGAATTTTTTGGAATAGTCTGAGGAGGACCAGTGTTAGTTCTTCTTTGAATGTTTGGTAAAACTCCCCTGTGAAGCCGTCTGGACTAGGGCTTTTGTTTGCTGGAAGTTTTTTGTTTACTGCTTCAATTTTGTCAGTAGTTATCAGCCTATTCAGGTTTTTTTATTCTTCCTGATCGAGTTTTGGAAGGTTGTATTTTTCTATGAATATGTCCATTTTTGTCTAGATTGTCCAGTTTGTTGGAGTAGAGTTGTTCATAGTATTTTTTTTTACAATCCTTTGTATTTCTGTGGGGTTGGATGTTACTTTACCTCTTTCATTTCTGATTTTGTTTATTTGAGTTCTCTCTCTTTGTTTTTTGGTGAGCCTGGCTAGAGGTTCATCAATCTTGTTTATCCTTTCAAAGAACCAGCTCTTGGTTCTATTGATCTTTTGTATGGTTTTCTGGTCTCTATGTCATTTATTTCTGCTCTGATCTTTATTATTTCCTTCTTTCTACTTTGGGCTTTTCTTGTTGCTCTCTTTC